AAAAAAAACCTTCTAAGCAGAAAAAAACAAAACAAAAAAAACTGCGTTTTTAAAGATCATATTTAAAAGAAGTGCTCAGACATATTATAAGACTTATCAGCGATTGGATAATTTTTCCCTCAGTGCTGGTCAAGATTATGGTAACTTTTTCCAAACAGTAGTTCATCAGTAACAAAATATAGACACAATAATAGTGAGCTGGGGGTGTAGAACAGGAACAGAGTGCCTGCTTAGTGTGTGTGAGGATCTCCTTCTCAGCACAATCAAAAATGGATGAACGTGAATGACAGCAAACCATCACCAGCCTAGCGCTCTAAGAACTGTCAGCGTCACTGCACACAGCTGTAACAGACTTTTACACTTGTTAAGGAACCCACAATAAATGCTTAACTGGCTGAGTTTCATGACCTCTTTATCTTTTACAGCCTGTTGATACATCATATTTGTTTTTATTTCACTCTAACGCCCTTGGCTTAGTTTTGCTCTTACGCATTTGAAGGTTAACCACAAAAAAATTATATTTCTCACTACATTCGTATTTGAAAAAAGGCGCAAGAACAGAACAATACTAGAAACACTAATTTCAACTTTATTTTCGAAAATAAGCATTAATGGCAACATACATGCCCCTAGAAACCCTGAAAATTTAGTGCAATAATATTATTTTCCTTTTATTGTTAAAATTGATTTATGTTAAAAATAAATGCTTTTGAGGTTACTATACCATTATGCCAACATGCTATCAATAAATGTATCTATTATCTCATTGTTAAAAGAATGCCTAATATCTACTTATTCAATAAAATCTCCAATAAAGTATAGCAGAATTGACAATGCTTGTTTCATACATTAACCTTCTAGATCTGTTCTTATTTTAAAAGATGGTGCACTGTTTCTTCTTACCAAATTTTCCTGTATCTTTTTACCTTATTTTTGTTTATATAATTGTGTGTTCATGTGTGTATGTGTCTGTCTGTCTCCAGCTCGCATTTACTGTACTCTAAAAGTCACATGTGGTGATACTTAATCAGCAGTGTGAAAATACCTTCCACTTTGGGTACATGTATTTCTGCCCTTTATAAACCAAAAAACTGGACGCTTTGTGAACATACTAAGTTGACATACCTTTTGCTTGCTGGTAAAGTCTTGTCTACACTATTTAACTATTCTGAAAAATGGCCTTGCAGTTTTTAAATCTCGAAAAGCATTTTTTAAAGCAAACAAGTTACCAGATTTAAAATTTTTCACCCACCTAATGACAGTCTGTTGGTCTTTTGCTTTTAAAATCTTATGTCATTTCTTACCTTTATTTGGCTTTGTAAAATGTCTAAAGATTAGTAGTTGAGGAACTCCCAGTGTTAGTATGTCTCAACTTACATTAACTAAGATCATACAAGCCAGTATCTTAGAAACCAGCCATAAGGACTGGACATGGCAGGTTTGGTTTTGACAGCATTTGTTTTCATTTGTCTGAGAAGGCTGTGCACAAGGCTAATGCCCAGAGAGAACTCCTCAGACCAGACTCCCAGTGTTATAAATGCTCAAATTCGTCTACATCATTCACCAGCTTCACTTGGGTTAGGGATTTTACTATTAGTGTGGGAGGGTTATTATCTGTAAAATGGAAAAAATATATGGTGTTCTTCATGAAGTACTAACTGCAAAGCAAACTGGACCTACAGATTCTGAAACTAAAGAGGTGATAAACCACTACAGTATAATCTGTCTCCCATATCTTATACATATTCTCTGTAAGAAAAAATAATTAAGATGATTTATTCAAGAGATTTTTAATGCATGTCAAATAAAATGATTTTTTAAAAAAAAAACAAGGCTTACATAAAGAAGTATCAAGTCCAAACTCCACAGAGAGATCAGAAATCCAAATGGACAGAATAAAGGCAATGTAATTACAATGCAATCATAAGTAAAATGATACTTATATGACTAGTTTCCAGTACATTCATATTATGTGGGTTTTCACATAATATGTGGGTTTTCACATAATAAATTTGCTTTATTTATTGTTAATATTACTTTAAAAAGCATTAATAAGAAACATATTTTGAAAGAATTTTATATACTAAATTCTGAAGCTATAGTATATTTTATACACTAAATTCTTCAGTTACAGCCATATCTGTTTTCAAAGCCAATGTTCTACTCACAATGTGAACAGGTAAGGGAAAACCATGACTCCAACACTTCCAGAAGTACAAGACAGAGTCTATCATCTCAGGAATTACATAGAAACTGATTTATATATTTTATTCCATTCAAATATACATACTTACGCAAGTGATAATAATTTTATAAGGCAGTACTAAGTACACTTAGCATTGTACACCATATTAGTAAACATAAATGTGTAGGGTCCCTGGAGTGACTCATAAAGACAGCAAAATCCACTTGAAAGCCCCTAAGCTGATGAGTCTCTGCTCTATCTTTTGTCCTTTCTCTTAGGGGACCCCTGCATTTCAGGGTACTGTGAACATATTTATGCTGTACCCTTTTCCCCTCATCAGTATGAACTTCTA